GGGCGGGGAGCGAGGGCGGCCTCTAGATTCGAAGCCGGGCCCAGGGGATCCAGGGCGGGGTCTGGATGCGGAGACCCGCGAAGTGGGGCGAGGCCGGAGGCGGGTTTGGACGCGCGGGGCGGGATCTAGAGGCGAAGGTGACGGAGCGGGGGTTTGGCGGCGCGGCGGGGCGGGGCGGAGCCCGGGGGCCCGCACGGCTTGAGCTCCCGGAGGACCCCGACCGGTCTCGTCCCCAGCGGCCCTTCAGTTGTGACAGCCTGACGTTCAGAAAACTAGCCCTCCTACCACGCAGACGCCCGGCCCCGGGGCACCCCGATACTCCAGCTGCTCAAGTCCAGGCCCCTGAGCCCGCGGACACGCTGATGGAAGCAGCCCCAGGCCCGGGAGACACAGCACCACAGGCCTCACTTGCCTGTCCACCCTCCGTGTGGTGCGGGCTCCGCACCTCAGGCATCGGGATCAGCTTGAGCCAATCACGGTGTGTGTGGACCTCTGCAGGGCTTCCAGGAATCCATCTTTGGCCCTCATGGCAACCAGTTAAGACACCTGGAGGCTATCCCAATGACTGGGCCCTAGGACTCTAGACCAGCTGCATGCAGGGTGGACGCAGATGAAACCAGCACCCAGTTGGGACCCAAGAGCCTGCTCCGACTTTATTCAGGTGCTCCCTGCCCTTTGCTGGAGCCTTCTGCTACTTGAGCAGCTTCCTCATGGTGCCCAGGGATGGGCTTCTGTACTCCCGCCCAAAGTGATTCCAGTGGTTTAGGTAGTTAAAGAGCTGGTACAGCAGCAGCCTTCTGTCAAACCCCGGGGCCTGGGGGATCTTCCGGTGGTAGGCTGTGAAGAAGGATCTGGGAAACCCCCCAAACATCAAGGCAATTGCCAGTTCAAACTCAGAATGGCCGTAGAAGGAAGCTGGGTCATAAATAATGGGCCCTTCATCATCCTCAGCCACATTTCCTGACCAGAGATCCCCATGCAGCAGGGCAGGGACAATCTCTAGGCCACAAAACAGATCCGGGATCTTCACCTAGGAAAGCAACCGTTAGACAGTTAAGGGACAGCATCCAGTTCTCGGAAATAAGACAAAGACAGCCACATGTTGGTTCAAGGTCTAACTATGCACTGTCTACCAGAGGTTAGGGTCATCTGACCCCAGGGGAGTGCAGCTTTGCCTCCTGTTGACTAGTAGTAAATTATGTCCAGAGGTTTGCAGAGCTAATCATCTCTGCACTGTTCAGACTCCCAGAGTGCTTTTTTATCATCCTGAAGACTAAGCCAGTTTTGTTCCTGACTTAGCAAACATTCTGGTCTATTTTAGCTGCACATATAATATCTGCATCTCTGGGCTGGGGTTGTAGTTCAGTGGTAGACCACTTGCCTAGCATGTGTGAGGCACTGGATTCAATCCACACCCCATAAAAATAAGTAAAATAAAGGTATTGTGTCCATATACCACTATTTTTTTTTAATTTTTAAATATCTGCATCTGTTTCTTATCCTGCTGATTACCTCATTAATGAGTGAAATGGAATTTCATCGATGCAAGCCCACCCTCGACTGATGAATAATTCTAACATTGGTTGGTAGTCCATTGCACTGGAAACCGTGTCTTCACTAATGGAGAGAGATTTGTGCTTTGACAGAGGACCAAAAGCAAGAGCACATAAGTGTCATCAACCATAATAGGAGTAATAGCAAAATCACCACTCAGAGCCAGGTAGCTGCTCCTCCTGAGGAAAGCCTCAGCTTACATACCCTATGGCTCAGCCAAGCGTCTGCTCCAGGACTATGTCCTCCCAGGGAAACCCGAATGAATGGGGTGGGCTACTGAGAGGACAGCCTACTTCCCTGAAAAGTGACTGCTGCACCCACCTGCAGCCTTGACCAGAGTTCTCGTGCCTCCCGGTCAGCATAGTCCTTCTCGATGAGGTCCAGCTGTGATTGGAGCCGGTGCCGGGTGAAAAAGGTCGCCCAGTCATCCTGCCACTCGTTCACCTGGGCAACAGGGGAAGAGGCCAGGACTGCAACTCAGAGCCACAGGACCCCTGCACGTGGAGTCTGCTACGCCCTGGAGCAGTCACCACCAAGCACAGCAGGGTGAGCTAGCCAGCCAACAGAAGAGATGAGACGGAGTCTTAAAGCAGTTAACCCAAAAGGTATGCAGGGAAAAGGGAAGAGCAATGGCACAAATGAAACCAGACTCAAACCCAAACACATCAATAAGCACATAAAATGCAAAGGTCCAGGCGTAATGGACACTCCTGTGTCCCTGCTGCCCAGGAGGCTGAGACAGGAGAACTAAAGGTTCAGGACCAGTTTTGGGGGAACTTAGGGAGAGCTGTCTCAAAATAAAGAAATTTAAAAAGGGATGAGGATGTATCTCAGTGGTAAAGTGCCCCTGGGTAGAATCCCCCCTGTAACAAAATTTTAAAAAAAATAAAATAAAAACAGGATTCTGGGCTGGGGTTGTAGCTCAGTGGTAGAGCACTTGCCTAGCACATGTAAGGCCCTGAGTTTGATCCTCAGCACCATATAAAGATAAATAAATAAAATAAAGGTATTGTATCTATCTAAATTACAAAAAAAAATTAAAAACAGGATTCTAGGGCTGGGAATATAGCTCAGTTGGTAGAGTGCTTGCCTTGCATGCACAAGGTCCTGGGTTCAATACCTGGTACCACAAAAATAAATAAATAGACAGATAAATAAATAAGTAAACATGATTCTATCCCCAGTACTGCAAAAATAAAAAATAAATATTCTAGTTAAATAACAGACTTGAAGTTTGGGAAAATAAAGCAAGAACCAACTCTCAGTGCAAAAATACACTTTATAAGCAAAAACAGAAATAGTTTTAAAGGAAAATTGCTATCACTAGTCAAATAAAGCTGGAGTAGCTCTATTAATATAAAAAAAAACACAGATATATCAGATATATACTGTCACCAAGTATGAAGAAAGTCATTTCACAAGGTGGAGGGTGAGTGACGAGGAGGACATAAAAATTCTAAATGTGTATGCCTCCAATAAAGAGCTCCAAAATACAGGAAAATAAAACAAATGTAACTGCAAACAGAAACAGAGGGTCTGCAGTGAGACTCTGCTGAGTGCAGAAGTGTGTGCTGTCCTCACACCCACATGTGGAGAGGCCAGCAGGGTTGAGATCCTGAGTGTGCACTCCTAATCTGGTGGGAAAACAGGCCCTGCCAAAGAGGGAGGGGGATTTGCCTCACTCCCCACAGGCACATGTGTGAGGAAACCCTAAGAGACACAGCAGGTAGGGGGTCATCTCACCAGCCCATGGCCACCTCTGAGGCCCTAGGGGCCAGCCCTTGATCCTGGACATCAGCCTATGGATGGAGAGAAGTGTCTGAAGTTCAGTCACCCAGCTGTGGCTTCTGTGTGGCAGCCCTCACAGACCAAGACACCACTGGAGATTTCAGCCTCTTAGTAATTGATAGAGAAGTAGGCAGGAAAGCAGAAGATGAGTCAATTTCAACAATTCTATCATCTAACGAGTCAACACTCCACCAGCAACGGCTTACACACTGTCTTTCCAAGTGCACAAGGAGCATTCACCAAGAGAGTCATTTTCTGGGCCATAAAATAAATCTCAATAACTTGAAAGGAGCCTCAGTCCTACAGTATATACCAGCTGACCACAATGGAAATAAACGAGAAATCAGTAGGCCTCGGGGAAATCCCCAAATGTTTGAAATAAATGACATGCTTCCAAAGTCTACAGTTATGGCAGGAATCGAAAAGGAAATTAAAAAAAAAGTATTTTGAATTGAAAAAAAGTGAAAATATGGCACAATTTGTGGGGCACTGCTAAAGCAGTACTCAGGGAAATTTATAGCACTAGACCCCTGCGTTAAAAGAAGAACTTGAATCGGTGACCTCACCTAGAAAAAGAAGAGCACATTAAACCTAACATAAGCAGGAAAAGTAAAATTTTAAAGATCTTATCAGATATTAAAGAAATAGAAAAGCAACAGTAAAGAAAAGCAACTTACAAGATGCAGGCTTTATGGGAAGAACAGTAATCGCGATAAACCTCTAGCCAAACGGGTCAGGCTGAAAAGAAGAAAGCCACAGGAGAATGAAAAAGGGTCACAATGCACAGCCTCCAGACAGCAAAGGACAACCAGGAAATGTTTTAAGACCTGTGCAGAGAAATTCAGAGCCTAGATCAAATTGATAAACTCCTTGAAAGACACTAGCAAATCTCAGTCAAAAAGAGAAACCAAGCAGCCTTCTATTAATGAAGCTGTAGCTAGGGCTGGATTGTAGCTCAGTGGTGGAGCACTTGCCTAGCACTTGTGAGGCACTGGGTTTGAATCTCGGCACCACATAAAAATAAATAAATAAAGCTACTGTGTCCATCTACAACTAAAAATATTTTAAAAAGTAAAAAAGGAAGCAGCTATAACTAAAGTCTTATAGACGGTTACAGACCCATATGCCACCACTGGTTAATTCTAGAAAATATCTAAGAAGAAAGTAATACCCATTTCACAGCAACTTTTCCAGAAAGACGTGGAATACATCCCAACCTATTTCTCTTATACCATATAAAAGATATTATAAGAAAAGAAAACTACAGATGAATTTCGCTGAACACAAATGCAAACATCCTAAGCAGAATTTTATCAAATAGAACCCAACAGCAATATAAGAAGAAAATTGCATCTCAACTAGGAAAATACTCAAAAATAATCAATGCAATTCACCATATTAATAAAAGGAAAAAGAAAATCCACTTGATCATTGCAAAAGATTCAGGAAAAGCATTTGATAAAATCTAGCGTCCATTCCTGATGAGAACTCCCAGAAAACTAGGAACAGAAGTGAGGTTCTTCAGCCTGATAAAGAGAAACCTACTGTGAAGTTCACACATCACAGGGAAGACCCAGTGCTCCCCAAGACCAAGAAAAAGTATCACATGCTCTCTCACCACTTTGATGGAACACCAAAAAAGAGAAAATAAAGTAAAGCCCTACACATTGGGATGAAAGAAGTAAAACACTTCACAGTAAACATGATGTCTATGTAGAAAATCTGACCTATAAAATAAAAATAATAAGAGAACCAGGATGTGGTGTAGCTTAGTAGTATAGTGACCCTGGATTCAATACCCAGTACCACCAAAAAAAAAAAAAAAAAATGGATGAGCATCAGAATGATTCGGCTGAGGGAGACACCAGACAAAACAGGACAAACCCCCTGATTGCATTGCATTAAACTTCACAGAACAGCTTACTGCAGGAAGTCGGGCCAGTGCCCACCCGGAGGAGGCAAGGGCGGGAGGAAGGTACCGAAGGTCTGGGTGCTTCTTACCTTGGCTGTGCTAAGTGGGTCCTGAGAGTACCTGTGTGTGCCAAAACTCACCCGACTGCCAGCTTCAAATGGGTGCAGTTCCTGTCAACTACACCTGGTTTCTCTGGGACACCCTTCCACAGGAGGTCTCAGAAAGCTCCCATTCCACTGTGGGGCAGCTGGACAGCCCTGATCTGTGGTCCTCCCAGTGGAGAATGCCCACAGGCTTGGATGCTGTGGTGACTTGGCTGGGGGTTCACCCCTGCTGCTGGGTGTACCTCAAGAGCAGGACGAGGTGCCCCCTCCCCACAGCCTGTCAGACCCCAGCACTGAGGGGCACCATGCCGCACTCATGACTCCCTGTTTACCGGCTCAGGCTCCCCATGCCCCAGATCCACCCTCCTGCTGGAAGATCACAAAAGACACGGATTTCATGATGGGGACGGGAAGTCAGCATTGGCAAGTCCAGTCCCACCCTGGACTGGGGCCATGATCGTCAAACCCACAGACAGAAGGGGCCTTCCCCTATACTGCTCAGGGCAGGTGCCACCTGGTGCTCAGCTGGTTTTGAGACTGGCTCCCCTGACAGAGAGGCAAGGAGGGGTGATGGCCAGGGCCCAGGTCACACCCTGCTCCTGCACTCACTGGCTGCCAGGCCTTGGGAGGTCACTTGGTCCTTGCACATGTGTCTCCTTATTTGCTAATTAGGCAGGTCAGCGGCATCACTGGCCGATGCCTCGTTGCCCACCATGGCATGTGTGAGTTGAGCCAGACAACTTGAGGACCGCAGCCCTGAAGCACCCTTCAGAGCCACCAGCCAGGAATGCCTGCACTGGTGTCATCCTCAGGCATGCTGGGACTGAGGTGAAATCGCAGGATCTGCAAGAAGCTGCTTTCTTGCCCTCAGGCAGGACAATCTAAGTGACAGAGTGGTGGTACTGCCCCTGAAGCCTGACCTTCAAACCCCTCCCTGCAATAACTGGTGCAGATCCAGCACCGGGAGAAGGAAGTGCTTGTCCAGCTGTCCCAGCCTGGACCAAGCACTCAGAGGGATGCAGGTGGCATTTTCTGGCACAGCCACAGAGGCTCCTGTGAAATAGAGGTGCCCTGTCAAGCCTGTGGCCAGTGGCTCTTCCCAGTAAGCACTGTTCAGTAGACCCAGTGTCTCTCACACCATCTGGGATGCATTCTTTGGCCTTCTCGGCCACCTGTCCCACAGTCCTAGCACAGCTGGACTGAGGGCCAGACACTAGCACTCAGCAGGGCACAAAATGAGCCAGCTGCCACTGCCGACAGGGCTGGTGGTCCCAATGGGGCTCAGGGCTCCAGTGTCTAAGAAGCCCGCCCACCCACATTGCCCACCAATGGCTGCTGCCTCCCCCAAGGACCCACTCAGCCCTCCCAAGGAGTGGGAGGCCTCAGAACCTGCAGCCAGTCTGAGCCACTACATGTGGGACAATCGTGCCATAGCTCAAAGGAGGTGGAGCAGGTGCCCCCAGGTCCCCAGTCCCTCCTGGTAGACTGCAGTCTAAAGGGATCTCAGGGGCCACCTGTGTTTCAGACCAGTCCCACTTTCCTGTGCTTCACACAGAGGGGTTCTGTGCAAGACTTCATTTCTCAATTTCTGCATATTTAAAAAACATTGCACTTGGCCAACCAAGTCTTAAAGACCCCCACCACTGGCAGCCTTAACATCTAACGCAAGATGACAAGCCATCTTGCCTCGGGTGACGGAGCCATGCTGGTCACCGGCTCCAGACAGATGTATAACCCCAGAGGAGCCCGTGTAGTTGAGGTCTGAGCATCTTGGCAAGCCTGGTGAGTCACATGCAGTTCTAGGACCCCGACGGGAAGCCTGCCTGTTGCCTGGGTCCGTAAGTCCACCCAGGCTTCAGAAGGATCTCGCCAAAGTGACCTTGGACTGGAAGACTCACCCTCCCTCCCCAGAGAGAGAGTTGGTCATTGTCCACAGGGGCCCAACAGGTCAGGGAAGGTCCAAGGAGGGGGAGGATTTGAGAGCATGACTTTCAAAAGCAATAAGTCTAACCAGGACAGGCTGTTATGAGATAGGACTCTCTCTAACAAGGCAGAACATGCCTGCCCCAGCTTCTTCTAGGTGGCCTGGGGAGAGAGATAAGCCTCCTTCAGATCTGCATGGGCTTCAGAGATGGCAGTACAAGTGGCCCCAGCCACAGAAAGAACACAGCTCAACATGCTACAGTGTGGTGGACCTTGAAAACACGGCTAGGTAAAAGGGACTGGACACAAGAGGCTGCGCACCTTGGCCCCATTGATAGGACTGTCTGGAATAGGTGGATGCTCAGAGACACCAGGTTCTTGGTTGCAGTACAGTTGACTGACTGCCAATGCCACGTTTGTGGATGAAGATATTCTGGCATTAGGTGGTGACAATGACATTGTGAATATACTAAAAATGACTGAATTAGCTATTTGCAGTGGTGCACACCTATAATCCCAGAAACTCAGGAGGCTGAGACAGGAGGATTGAAAGTTTAAGGCTAGCCTCAGAAATTTAGGGAGGCCCTAAACAACTCAGTGAGACCCCATCTTGAAATAAAAAATAAGGGGCTGGGGATGTGGCTCAAGCAGTAACGCGCCTGCCTGGCATGCGCGGGGCGCTGGGTTTAATCCTCAGCACCACATAAAAATTAAAAATAAAGATGTTGTGTGTGGGAAGCCATTCTCGCACGTGATTTGAGTTACCTCCCTGGCTGGGTGAGAGGCGCTTAGACAACTGTGTCAGAGCCTTCTCCACCCTGTCCCAGGTGCGAGGGCTTGTCCGTGTGGAGGTGTGCCTGGCCACCGACCCGAAGACCAATCACTGACCCTGACCTTGGAATGCTGCCCCCCTCGACCTTCATTGGATGGGATTTTCCCTTGAATATTTTGTTCCCCAATAAAAGCTCACTCCCTGGCGTGCTCTCTCTCTCTCACTAGTCTCTTGTATAAACTTCGCCACCCCATTAGGTGGCTGGAGGCGGGAGCTAGGAGAAGCGGTCCCAGAGCTGGGTATTAAAGGGTAAGGAGAGTGTGTCTCTTTAATTTTAAACTCATAGTTAGTTTCTATGCCTCGAATCTCTTTTATGAAGCTCGCGTGCTGGTCGCACGGCAGAGTTGTGTCCACTGAAAACTGAAAAATAAAATTTTTTTTTTTTTTTAATTTTTTAATATTTATTTTTTAGTTCTCGGCGGACACAACATCTTTGTTTGTATGTGGTGCTGAGGATCGAACCCAGGCCGCACGCAAGCCAGGCGAGCGCGCTACCGCTTGAGCCACATCCCCAGCC